CCTCATGCTCCTTCAGCTGTAGCGACTGCGTGCTGGATTGATGTGGAGTCAGAGGGGCAGAGTGAGACCCCTTTGCGTCAAAGCGGGTGAAGAAGATGTTTAATTCCTCCGCCAGTGAAGCATCTACGCTTACTTCTGGTGGACTGCCCTTGTAATTTGTTATGTTTTGTAAGCCCTGCCACACTTGCCTTGCATTTTTGTCCACCAGTTGTTGCTCTACCTTCCCTTTATAGCCCCTTTTGGCTTGTTTAATTCCTCTTTTCAGGTTTGCCCTGGCCACGGCATACAGCTCCCGGTCTCCGGCCCTGAATGCAGAATCCCGGGCCCTGAGTAGAGTCCGCACTTTCCGCGTCATCCATGGCTTTACATTTTTGAACACTTTAATCTGTTTATCCACTGTGACATTGTCAGTGCAGGTCTTAATGTAAAATAAAACAGTCTCAGTGCGTTCATTTAAGTCCAAGTGATCAAAAATAGTCCAGTCCGTATTTTCAAAACAGTCCTGGAGCTGGCTGAGTGCATCTATGGGCCAGGTTTTGACAGTTTTCCTGACTGGTTTGGTTCTTATTCTGATGGGTCTATACGCTGGCACACTGAATAGTGAGATGTGATCAGACATTCCCTGATGAGGAAGGGGTATTGACCTATATGCACTCTTTAGGTTGGAATAGATCCTATCCAGTGTGTTTCTGCCCCTGGTGGGGCCTTTTACATATTGTGCAAACTTTGGGAAAACAGTTTTTAAACAAGCCTGATTAAAGTCCCCAGCCACAGTAATGGCACCCTCAGGGTACTGCATCTGCTGTCCGGATATTGTGTCGTGAAGTCTGGAAAGAGCTGTGTTTACGTTAGCAGTGGGGGGTATATACACAGCTGTAATTAGCACTACAGTTAGCTCTCTCGGTAGATAGAATGGCCTACAGATTACCGTCATCATCTCTAAATCGGGCAAGCAGTAAGTGTTGATTACTCTACTGTTTGTACACCAGCCTTGATGAACAAAGACGCACAGGCCGCCTCCTCGCTTCTTTCCGGAGCTGTCGTTTCTATCGAAGCGGTGCGTGGTTCGGCGCGTTAGCTGAATTGCCTCATCCGGTATGAGCGAATGTAGCCACGTCTCTGTTATTACCGACACGCTACAGTCCCGGGTGTAGCGATTGTCTGACAACAGCAGCTCCATCTCGGCAATTTTGTTGACGATAGATCTAGCATTCGTCAGGAAGATGCTAGGCTTGGCAGCGCTGGTCTGAGCGTCTTCTTCCTTAGCCTGGCTAGCAGGCCCGCTCTGCACCCTCGCTTTTGCCTCCGCTCTCTACGCCGCCTGCGCCGCCTCCTAGTCCCGACAACAATCCACGGAGAGCCCGGTGGTCTGGCTATCGCTGGGGGTATATTCCACGTATCTCTGAAGTCCGCATTTATCGCGATTTCACTCGCAAGTCCAATGTTTTTTAACTCTGCACTGGTATATGTGTACAAGCCATTCACACACTTGATCACATTCGCACAAGACCACAAAAACATAACAAGAGACAAACTAAAACCACGACGAGGGAGAGAGGTCCGGGCCGCTGCGTCCTCGCGCGCCGCCATCTTTAAGTGTTCGGCATGTGCATGTGAGGACACTGGAAGTGAGCGACTCCAATACCGATTCAAAATCATCTGTCGAACTATTGGGAGGGTTGCCAACTTCATCCACATCGTACTCCCTTGGATGCAGACACATTAGTTTCCCGACTGTGGTGACCGTGAGGGCTGCACCTGCGTGGGGCAGTTGCGTCTGGAATGATCGGGTGAGTAGCACAAAAAGCAAAGTCTCTTTTCACGACAGTGAACGAGTGTAGAATGGTCGGGGTAATCACAGACAGCACATGGGAGATTATTCAAACCTTCAACCATCGGGAGTCTTGGCCTACGATTACCACTGGCAGAAGTTGAGGAAGGATTAGCTCCCTGCAGCAAAACTCTCTCCAGCATGGAAATGACACGCTCAAGAGCCGCGGAGTCGGGCGCCCTGGCTGGGTGGGCTATCCGACCGTCATCCTGGCCTGCTGTATTCTGCAGCATCTCAACTTTGTTCACAAAAACATGTTCAGTGGGTTTCCTGCTCACCACAGCTGATGCAGCAGCCCTTCAACTCATCTCTGTCTGGTACTCATCCAGTATAGCCTGGACCTCAACTGCCAACAGCTTGTCTATTGTTTTCGACCTGAATGTCATGGAAAGATCCTTGGATGGGCAATTTTTGATAAACATCCGTGTTACATCAACCGAAGAACAGTCCAAATCTCTGCCCTGCATTCTAAGACGGTCAGCGGCAACCTCAGCTGCATTTTTAATCCTCAACCAATAGTCAGGGTCCTCATTTTTCTCGGGGAGCTTAGTGTAAAAGTCTGCTAGAGGGAGAGGTGAACAAGGGACAGTAGCAAAATGTTTAGGAAGAAGGCCATAGATGGCATCTGGGTTCCGGGTAACATCAACTGCACTGTTTCTTGCGCTAACTTTTACATCTTTAGCTCTACCCCTGAGGTTCATGAGGATTTCCTCTGCCTGATGCTCAGGAGCTACATTTGCTCTCCTCATGTAGTTCCTCATTAGGTCTTCCCACTCATGCACATTAACTGTATCAGAGTGATCCCCCTTGAAAGCTGGAGGATCCCGAACTTTCCTGTGGGGCACGAGCAGAACTTGTGATGAGTTAAGACTTTGTGCGGATGTGTCAACGGCCGTGTCATGTAAGACTGAGTTGTTATGCGTGGCAACATTATGTGTTGGGCTGAGATGTGCAACAATGCTATCTGCCAGCTGCTGGCCAACATGACTTATGATGTCACTCATATGACCAACTATGTCAGGTGACTGGAGAAAGGCGTCTGTCGCCGGTATATCAGTAGTCTGTGCGCTTGTCATAGGTACACTGCACTGGGTCTGGGAAGGAACTCTGTCCCCACTAACTGAAGTGGCCTCAGCTAGAACCCGCCTATGAACTACACCACTCTGTACAGGACTACTAAACAGCAACACGGTTGGGATCCTGTACAGGAGTACTAAACTGTAACACGGTCGGGATCCCTCTACCTCTACCAACACACCTATTCAAAGACGTGCTAAATGTTCCTTGCAAGGAGCTCATCCTGAGACTTCACAAAAAAAACACCAAAGGAAGAGAAAAAAAAATGCAGAAAAGTACACACACTAATTGCAGAACATGAGCACACACTGTCCACCTAGTGATATGATGAAGCGGCACAGCGTCGTGGTCCCGGTCCGAAGTGGAGAGTCAACTTGTGATCGACGGGTCACGGCACCAATGTGACGGGGGTCACAACTGACTCCATTTGACCTATATTTACGAAACATTGTGTGCATGTGTGCGTGCGTGTGTGTATATATATAAAAAAAATAATAAATCCTCGTCTCACCCCTCGGGTGGTGTCCATCCCTCATTCAGCTCGGGTCCTCTACCAGAGGCCAGGAAGCTTGAGGGTTCTGCGCAGTATCCTTGCTGTTCCCAGCACTGCACATTTCTGGACTGAGATGTCCGATGTTGTTCCCGGGATCTGTTGCAACCACTCATCTAGTTTGGGGGTCACTGCCCCGAGTGCTCCGACCACCACAGGCA